TAGGACTAGAGGACAAAACTCAATTCCTTTCACAGGACTGGATACTTAATACTAGTGGAATATGTTCATCATGCCTAACTATCACAGAGGAATTTATGACAAGATGTTGCCCTAGAAGATGACCATAACTCTTGCACTGTATGCCTTGATCCTAACCATGACACTTGTGAACAGGAAAACAACACTACTTGTGGCATCTCTGTCACCATCCGGCACTGAATTCACATGCAACTGGTAAGTCAGTTCCTGAAGGTTAGGCTCTGTGGCCCGCTTATGTAACACTAGACTCTCAGGGAGTACTAGGCCAAATACTTATGTCAACCCATGTCATTGGGTTGAGGGGTCAACACCACCATTACAACGCCATCCTTTAATTGCGAATGCATCTACACATCTACTGCTACATCTGTTCTCTTTTTCTGTTCTTTTCCCGTTTACAACCATTTTTTGTGCAATATATGCCAGGGACCTGTGCATTACATTAATATTTATATTTATATCTATATCTATATTTACATCTATATTTATATTCATATGTGTGATATGATTTTTCTGCGTACTGTTCTGTTCTAGTTTGTTCTTTGTGTGACCGGACTGCGAGTCACTCTTTTAGTGCACCCCTCACTGTACTGATTGTATTGTATGTATTGTACTATTATTATTATTGTTGTATCATTCGTTACACTGTGGCTGTGTTGTCTGAGTTAAGCTGCTGTTGCACTGCAATTTCCCTCATGGGATCAATAAAGTATCTATCTTTCCTAAAATAATGCTCCTATTGCTGCTCACTAATTGGCTATGCAAAGCACTGTGGAAAGTGTTTAGCCCAACTCATGGGCATGGTATCCATATTCATATTGCTACACAGCTACAGCTGGCAGACATATTTTTTAGCTCAATCCACCAGGGCATCAATTTAGATATTATGTTTTATTCCCACCACTATTAACCTGCTCAGTTTGCACAAAAATGTATTGTTATATTTTATTTTCATCAGGTATCTTAGGCATCTATTTCACTCGCTAACAACACTTTTTTATTTATTAATTGTGGTCTATTGTTTAAAGCTTCTAATTTTTTTAATATCATGCATGTACATTTTATTTTTATAATGCACTCATGTTTCTTGCATATCTGCCAAGGTGCATATAGAGCATCTTTTATCTGCCTGCAAAGCAAATTGCCAATCTGGAAAGTAAACATTCTACATGACTTGGTTTAATTTTGTGAGGGAGTACTAGGCCATATCCAGCTGTTCTTGGGGCGCTGACACGTGTTCCCCCATTATATGAACTGTACTAGAGGTGTATTTGCCACTTACATTGGAGGAAACTCTTGATTTTACTCATGCCCTCTCTTTGGATGTTTTTGGAGTGATTTTTTTTTGTATGTGGGATAAACATCTGCAGCACTTGACAACTCAGTTTCATCTATGATATATTCTGCCCATAAATGGTTGATGGAACACGTACAACCCAAAGATATCTGGTCACTGATGGAAAAGCTCACATCTAAATTGGGAGTTGATCAACTGTCAAACCTAGATCCCCATTCATCACTTGTAGATCATGTTCCTTTGGCATTTGACTCCATTAAATTTGTTGTTGTCTTCCTTGTCCTTTTGGAATGACTATATTTAACTGGTGAGAGATTTTGAGTATTGTTATTCCACAATCTGGTATTCCTTCCTAAGGTTATTTCAATATTAATAATGTCATTCTATTACAATCATCCCACTTTCCAGAAGGAAACAAACTTAAACAACTTGGCAAGAAACTGAAGAACAGGGCCAAATCAGTGGTCTCAGGAATCCTCCAAGAATCGGGCAACCATTAAAAATCACAAATGTAAATAATTTAAAATAATACATGGATGTGGACATAATGTGCAGAAAAAGGCTATGGATTTCTGGGCTATGGATACCTTTCCATGGCACAGGGCATCTGAACAGATGCTACAGATTACATCTAGTACTATCTAAATGAGAAGGGAACCTGTTGCCTTTGAACAAGAATCCACAAAGGAAACACAGAAACATTTAAATTAGAATGAAAGATGGTGGGGAAGGAGGCATAAAAAATTCAAAAGGTAGTGGACTTGGATAAGACTAAGGGAGGACCAAAGTGGACATAAAAACACATTTTGACTTAAATGCTTAAGACAAATAGCATAATACTGTAATTTACAATAACAGATCAAAATAAATAGTCCAGAGAAAAATTGAAAGGGATATTGCAATGGAGGCTAAAACAAATAATGAAAAGCTCTTCCCTTAGTACAACAGTAAAATGTCTGTCAAGCGTGAGGTAAAATATACCAAGGACAAAAATGGGAAACATTAAGACAATGAAAGGGAGAAGTCTGATGTACTAAACTAGTACATCCTCAGGACATGAAAGGACAGTTATGTACTAAATATAATTTGCATGGAATAGGCAGAAGTGTTTTGGGTACTCGATACACTCAAGAATAATAAATCCCCAAGGGCTGATGGTACCTCATGAATTGTACTATAGGAACCAAAAGATGTATTCAGAATCCACCTGTAAAAGATGGTCTTACCTTACCAACACGTCAGGGTTTTTTAAACAAGCAGACAAAATAATGGATACACACTTGGCATGTAATATAAAGTATATGGATTTTCAAAAGACTTTTGATTAAGTTCCTCATAAATGATCAATTCTCAAATTGCAAGCAGTACCTTAATGTACACATGACCCTTCCAACTATTTGGATTGAGAACTGGTTATTAAATATAACAGAGTGTATCAGTAAGGGGTGAATACTCAAACTAGGGTGATATACTGTAATCAGAGGAATTCCAAAGGGATCTTTACTAGTGCCTAACCATCCATTTCTAACCTCTTTTATCCAGTGTAGGGTTTTGGGGGAGCTGGAGCCTATTCCAGCTAGGAACAGGCGAAAAGCTGGATACACCATGGATGGGACACCAGTTCACCACAGGGCACATACTGGTAGAAACACACGCACACTCAGACCACGGCCAATTTTTCTATAAGCCAATTAACCTACAAGTATGTTTTTGGACTGTGGGAGAAAACAGCACATAGAGGAAACCCACACAAACACAGGAAAACATACAAAGTACACCTAGATTAGTGCCGCAGGTCTGGAATTGGACCCAGGGCCCCAGCACTGCGAAGCAGCAATACTAACTGCTGTGCCACAATGTCATCCCTTTACTAGCTCCACTGTTCATAATTTATATCAGAGATCTAGATTCAGGTATAATTCGTATATTAGTTAAGATGGCAAGATCTTTCAAGATTGCAACTCATACCAAATTAGTAGAATTAGCCAACACTCATGAAGCAGCAAATTATATTCAAAAAGATCAAATTCAAGACTGTTATAACACCCGGAGCATGATATTAAATGGAAACAGTTACAGGGTTTTGCATGCAGATAGTGAAAACCAACTTTAAATGCAAAATATGAAACACTGAGCTAAAAGAGACTATTATAGGAGGTTAGCCCCGCAGATCTCTTCAGATTAAATGGTGAACCAAGAACCAGAGGGTACAAGTAAAAAACCTGTGGGAAACAGCACTCATTTATATAACCAAATGATTGTGGGAGTATGGAACAAGTTACGCAACCATGTTGTTGAGGCCGATACCCTTCTTCTAGCTTCTTTGAAGAAACAGCTGAAACATCAACTTCCAAACTAGCTAGATAGCCCAAATAGACTCCTCTCATTCGTAACCATTTTTATGTTCTTATACTAATTAGAATTTCATATTAAACAGTGTTTTTGAGTTTATGTTTTTCCTTCGTCTCAGAAATGGACTGGTGCCAGAAGATGCTATTCCCTATATGAGTTTCATATGGGCAATATAATACTGACCAGCTTTTTGTCGCTATGGAACTAGAACAGAATCTGTCAAAACAGGACTTTTCCCACTGGATTGTTGAGGTTTTCCACTGCTTTTGTTTGTTGTTACACCCCACAGTGGTTGGTACTGCACTCTACTAGAGAGATAGCCACATATTCGGCCATATATCAAAATAAGTCTGCTATGACGCGATGGGTAGATGAAAGATCTGCTTCTGCTGGACTGGCTGATAAATCCAAGTGCTTGATCCCAGTGAAGACATGAGGAGTTATAAGAGCTGGTGGAGATAACCGAACAGAATAGGAACTGCGAAGGCTGGCATAGATTTCCAGGCAGGATTGTGCTACAAGGACTGATGGAGACTGCCTAGGATAGGATAGGTGCTAGGATAGGCGCTAGTAGACTGACTGATCTGATGGGTGGAGCTTACAGGGCAGAACAAAGCAGGGAAGCTGTGTTGCCAAGCAAGTTTGGTAGACAAGAGGTACAGCACAATGCTATTAGTCTGTGTTAAGCAGGGCATAATGGCAATGGATGATACACAGGGTGCTGGCTGGTAACATGGTTCGAGAACCGAACAGATACCGAGGCTGAGTTCGAACAGGTTATCCTTCTCTGAATCAGGTTTGTTGTGCTGTGAGCTCTTCCTTTATCTGAAGGAGGTTCAATGGAAGAGCACTGGACCATAGGCAGATCAGGGTTTAAATACCCTGGACTCAATGGAATTAAATAATTATGTTACGTGGGGGAAGGTGATTGGGACAAGCAGCTCGAGCAAGTCATCACGGCCCCAGAAGGTGTTTGATTCCTCATGCAAATGTGGCCATTTTCTGTGGAGACCAAGGGTTACAAGCTCTGGCTCATTTGGGCATAACAACCTCCTGATGTATTCCAAGGTTACCAGAAAATATTATATATAATGAAAGAAAAAACACTATACTGGGTCTTTAAACAAAACACAACCATGAACTTTACAATACATACACATAAATGTCCTGTCATTCCAGTCCCTACCTCATTCTGTGAACTTAACAGTATGTCAATGTATCCGGAACACCCAACACATCTCAAATTAAACTGTATTTGTCCTGAAATCCAAAAAAGCAGCAAAATGTTGCATTAATGTTTTAATTGTCTTACCTGATTGAGTGTGAGCCACATCAGATGTATTCCGTAGCCCAACGAATGCAAACTGATATAATCTCCAATATCTTTGATCTGCAACTTCCACAGACCTTCTTTGCCATCTGTATAGTATTTCATTTTTAGGATAGCCATCTACGAGAAACAAAAATTCTCGAATTTGCAGTATTATACTAAGTGCAATTTATCCAAATTTCTACACAAGAATGTATGACTTTGAGTCACTTACACACAAAAGAAAAAAAAAAGAAAGATGATATTACACTAAAATGAGTAGTTTAACGATGACATTCCCCAGGCATCTTTGTCTTAACACTTAGAAAAATACCACAAATATAAAATATATGCACATTATTCAAATGTGGAACAAATAGAGCATTAACTATTAAAATACATACTTAATTATTTTTTTTATTTTCTAGATTTCTAGATACAGTTTTCAAGCTTAAATTAACAACTATTTAAGATAGTCATTTCAAATTGAGACTGGATTCCAGAACTGTACGTATACTTTTTGTGCTTGAAAATCATTTTGATTTTACTGAACAAGCGTAATAGTGTGTCAATGGATTACATAAGAATTAGCACCTACAGCTTGAAAACTCCAGTGGACAGGAATGCTCATCCATTGGAAAGTTATGTAGTTTAAGGTAGCATTCCGCATTAATTGTCAACCTAATAAAAACAGAAATGTTAAAAGTTTAGTCTTAAACATGTAATAGTATACCTATTAATCAAGAGATTAAAATATCAGAGTGACTTCATGCTGATTTGATTAGAGCTCTAAAACTGGCCTTTATTGGCCATTGCTTGTTTCTGGTGCAGAACAACTGCATTATGAGACTAATGAATACAAGGTTTAGCTGTTAATAACATACATTTTTTATTTTAGAAGAGGTACCCACCCAGGAAGTTAAAAATAGAAATTGCACATACCTAGCAGGTAATCAAGGTGTACATGATAAATCTAAGGATTAGATTATAAAGTATAAGTTTCAAAACTTTGTAAGTCATAATTGTAAGTAGATATGCATACATGTTATACATGCAAATTGTGAAATAATTTTATCAAGTTCAAATATAGTAAAAAAGTTATTTTTATGTTGTGTATTCAGCTATAAATGTAAGAAACAGACAAAAAATACAAGTAGGCTTTAGTAGTTAAAACAACCAGAATGAATACAATGTTAATACAAGTAACGTATCTGTGCTAACAGGTAGAAACCATCTTAATATAAAGAATTCAGTAATACCATAAGATTAAGATTGAACTTCATGAAAAGGGCTGATCTCAATAACAGTGTTGTCACTTTTGTCTCCATCAGAAGTACTGGCTGGCTCACATGCTGGAGGAAAGCAAAAAGTTCAAGGAACCTCAACTGGCTAAACAATTAAAATCCATGGTCTTCATCTTAAACTTCAGTAAATAGGAAAAGACAGATCTCCTGGACAGCACTACTTATCATTTTCTGTGATCAAACCCTTCTTCCTAATGTTTGCAGAGAGCATTCCCTATTGCTTTAGGAGATTTTACAGAACAGATTCAAAAATCAGCTTATAAATACAGATTCAAATTTACAACTTTGGAATCAAAAATAGAAGTTCAGTTCTTATCTACCTAGAGATGACTATCTATGCATTCCTTTTTTTTCCAAGAACTTTGCTTACTATTTGTAAAATGAGCAGTCAACGCCATCAGTTAAACAAAGTATCAAACAGCAAATGCTCTAAGCAAAATTATATGTTCCATCACACCTTATCATGATGACACACATGATATCAGTAAAATGGTCAGCATTGATACACTATATTCAAGTATGCATTTCAACAAGAAGTAGTGCTAATGCAAGTAGTTAACATAGCATAGTTTTTGTGTTTCTCATTAAATATTCACAATGTGCAGAATCCTTACACAATATTTTATCCAAAACCTATACTTACAAATTTGCAGGTTTGATTATTGTGTTATAGAACATATACATTATATAGAAACAACCATCAACAATCATGTTAAAGAAAATATAAGGCAACACTTGTGCTGGATGTTCCTGCAAAAATTATTTAGGTAAATTAGCAAGAGGAGAAAGGTAAACATTATATTCTGATAGCATGTTTTATATGCTTCATACACTTTTTATAAATACAAACATTTTTACACTATTGAAAAAAGCAAATATTTTCTTACAGACAACATTGCCTATATTCATGAAGCTTGTTCCACAAATTCTGTGACACCATCACTTTTTTTCTTATAGGCTATAAACATCTATAAAATCACAGATGTTAACATTATACATTTTTTAATTTATAAATTAAACCATATGCATAGAAACTTAAGTGAATAGCAAAGTTATGTTAAACATACAAATAAAGGACAGTGTTTAAAGTTAAAAATGTACAAAACTAATTAGTTAACATATATGGTTGTCTACATTACAGTGGACTTTTTGTAAAAAGGATCACAACACCCAGAACACAAATGTACACATTAACGATGAAAGGCAAATTAACACCAACACCAAAACACAAGATAAACCTACCTTAATGTATACATGACCCTTCCATTATTCCACAGCCTCAGAAGGCGGTTTGGTGTTGTGATCCAATGGGCATCAGATTTCCTTGAGTTTCTGAAAAAGGTGTCTGGAATCCAGATCTTGCCCACCATATTGCTATTAAGCATGAGTAGCTTCATAGAGCTATTGAACTTCAGTCTGCTATCATACCAGGTCTGAGCAAAGAATATATCAATGGTATACTCCTAAAATAAGATCAAAACATGTACATTAACTTTTGAATCGGGTGTTTGAATCACAGTTTATTTTTCAAAACAAGGTTTGTACTGTATATATTCTAGACGTGTAAAATAATCAGTTGTGACCAAGAGGTACATTTATTATTATAATGAAAACCTGCTTTTCTGAAATCAGCAAGAGGTTTAGTGACAGCAATGTTAACCTATATATGAAATACAAGAACATCTAATATCCTGATGGCTTAGTCTAATTTTACTACTTGTCTGTCTACACTCTCAATCCTGCACAGGTCTTGCACATCAAGTTCCATGCAGCACATTATAAAAGATGTTAACAGTCAAAGACTATTTCATTTTTTTATGTCTGCTCCAGCTCAGTGTGACGCGCTAACATTACCATGGTAACTGGTCACTCTTCCTTTGTGCTGTCAACGCCTGTTTCAACGAACACATAATCAGACAGACAGCCTGATCACCTGTGCACCTATTTCCACAATTTTCACAGCATCTTCTTCAAAGATGCTTAAACAATGAACTACCAGTTACCACAATCTTGTTACTGATATTAACAAAAGACAATTAAAATGCACTTACCATATTGATGGGGTCTACTGGTCCTATGCTGTTTACATACACGGCAGTCTCAATTACTGTTGGCCTCACTGTAAAATATTTCCAGTTTGCTAAGAATAGTTTTGACAAGGTATTTTAATACTACTTTCCCCAACTGTAATTAGGGAAAAGTTATTTAAAATAACAAAAATGTAATCTCTAATGATAAAAATAATCTAGAAATTAAATAGCACATTAAATGTGTTACATTGTACACATAAAAGTTTTCATTCATATGATTATCTGATTCAAAATTCTATGAGCTCTGCTATCAAAAAGACTATACTTACAAAAAATGCTCTTGTCAAAGATTGGAGAAAAAAACATAAACTTTCCTATGTTTTACTGTATATGTGTACTGCAGTTTAAATCTAAAAACACTATACATGTAAATAAATAGACTTGCCTCCAATATCTGGTCTAAGTTTGTTGTCATATCCCTGTAGCAACTTATTCAGGATCAAGGTGACATCACTTTCGTAGACCTTTGGTGATAAAACCCATGTCTTATTTATAGGTACATCTTCATAATCTTCTTCTTCCATTTTGTTTGGTCCAAATGCAGCACTTCAGATATTAAAAAAAAAGATTTATTTTGTGAAAAACATTGACTTTCTAATTTGCAAAAAATTTTCTTAATTGTTAAGATCTTGGTAGTAAATTTCCACCATGTCACTGACCAGTATTTGTACAATTTGCATTACTTAATAATGTATTGTATAAACCATAATGTAGTTTCTTTAATCTTCAATTTAATTTAATATTTTATTCATTGGCTACTGAAGACCTGAAATAAAGTTTTCACAGGTTAAGCCCAATATTTAGAAATTCGAGTTTTATGACAAAAAATGTACATATGTTTAACTCAAATTGGCCACTTCCTGTATATAATCTTACCAACCAAAGGAACAAATGACAATGAAAAGTACTACTTCACACCTGAAGAAAGCACCACAACCAAAATTTTGTCTTTTTCTTTTCCTTTCAGCATGGAATAAACCTTTACCTGTTCCAATAAAAAGTCCTTCCAATAATCTGAGAAATATTCTGCCTAAGGTTTAACTAGATACATAATATATATTTATTACTCTGGCTTTTTTATGTTGTTGTGATTTAAGTCTCTCTACCAATTTAATTAAAGACTGAAAGTTTCTCAAACATCTTACTGAATTTTCAAGATAAGCCAAATAAAATATTAACTGATAACCGAAACATTATCTTTTTAATATATTTTGCACACTACCATGTGAAGATGAACAATGAGTTTATCGCGAAATATGAAGCTCATCTGAAAGGATATCAAAGAGACAGCAAATCATCAAATAAAGTAACTGTTTCCAAAATGTCTTTTTGAAACAGAAATCTTGCGCTGACTGAGGTGCAGCGCCACGTGATGCTGGCCGCGCCGGTCCCCTTGGAGCAGGCTCTGGCTCTGGCTCTGGCTGAGCAGGCTGATTCGAGGAAACCGGTGGGCACCAATGGAGGGGCGCACAGGGAATCAGATGGGGAGGAGGACACGGCCAGCTCGGCGACGCCCGGGGAGCGACAATGGCGGGTCATCTACTACCGCTGTTGGGAGAGGGGGCACATCGCCCGGGAGTCCTGGGCACTGGAGCCCCGGGGACTCTGGAGGCCGTCGGGAAACGGGAGCGGGACGGCCTAAAGGGGGGAAGGCCGCCCTTGAGTGACGCTACCCCTGCTCCGGAAAGCCAGAAGGAGCGCTTCACCCCATCTGCTGCCGTGGGAAGGGTTGGCCACAGCCGGGGCTTATTTTTTCCCTGCCTCATCGAGGGCAGACCCTGCCAGGCCCTCGTCGACACCGGCTCGATCATCACCCTGCTGCGGCATGGTGTCCTGCCGGACCCCCAGGATGGGAAACCACCAGCCTGCACCTGAGGATGGTGACGGGGCAGTACCCAGAGGTCCTCGGCAAGCAGGTGGGTGGTTGCCTTGACTTGGGCTGGTGAGAGTTGGTGGGGCATGGGAAACGAATCGGTCTCGCGGCGGGCGGGGCGGAAGGTGTCCGGGGCATTCAGGCATACCGGAGCGGGAAGCGGAGGCGGAAGCCGCAGGCATCCCCTGGGCCTGTCGGAGGCGTGGGTGTCGGGGCGAGCGTGCCAGAGCTGACTCCCAGGACGCCGGGCTGGGCGGTTGACGGGGTGGCCGCTGGGGGGAATGCGGGGACCAAGCGCAATGGTGAGATAAGCTCACCCCTCACACCAAGTTCGTGAAAGCACTCTGCACACCGTGGGAGGCTTTGGAGGTGAGGGACGGGGTGCTGTGCTGGGGGTGGCAGGTGCCCTCCAAGGGCGAGGTCAGGTCGCAGTTTGTGGTGTCGCGGTCGCTCCGCGGGGCAGTTATCCAAGCAGTGCACGGCCAGCCGGAGGCCGCCAAGCAGTGACCTTGCCGCTGGAGGGCAGAATAGAATAGAGTAGAATAGAATTTATTATTAGCACAATTTATTAAAGTGCTAAATTTAATATTATTGATTACTAATAGTTTATGCTAACACCTAACTTTCTTAACGTGAGAAGTAATACTGTAAGTAAGTACTCTAAGTACTTACTGTACTGTACTTAAGTACTACTATAAGTAAAAAAAAAGGGGCTTTGGAGGGGGGGGTGTATTTAGCTGGAAGACTCGCCCCCTTTTACTTTGAAAATACCTGTGAAACTGGTTTAATTCGTCACAGCCAGCACTCCCTCAGAGAGTGATGAAAACCGCGCAGTGCCAGGCGAATGCACATTAATGTTGGGCTTTTGGGCTCAGGTGGATTTGGGCCCTACAGTTCAACCTGCGGTACCGCAGTGTTCTGTACATACAGTATGAACGTGTTATTTTGAAATATAAAAAATGTCAATATACTGTAGTTTCCATAATATTTGCAATTTTAGTTTTTCAAAGACATGTTTTTGTTAAAAGAAAACTCATAACAATTGCTGGATTTGAACACCCGACGTCAATTATACTGTATATCGGTCGCGTAAGCGGTCACGCCACTGAGGCAAGTCATGTGACACACACTGAAACAGCAAAACAGATACAGAGTAATATGGTCAGAAGATCAACCACATGTAAGACTTTGATGCTTAAAATGTTTAGGGAGAAATGGAATATTGGTGTGTATTTTTTCTTTAAAATACCAATACCAGCAACATACAGTTTTCATAATATGTTTATGTTCCTAAATTAATATCGTTTATGACCTTTATGACCTTTATTATGCTCCTCTGCCTTTTATGCTTAGCTACTAAAATTTCCCTTTAGTGGTAAAGTTCCATATAAATATTCAATACTAAGTGGATTACAATGTGCACGGTAAAGAGATTAAATGATTAAATCTTTTCACTAATGACCAATACACCACAATATCTTCCGTGTTGCATTAACATTGGAATGTTTGTTTTTACAAGTGTAAAAAGAAGCGATACACAACGTGTCTCCTCTATAACTCTTCAGTTCACAGAGGAATTCTGCCAGAGCCTCACAACATTGTCCAATAATACTCTTCTTGTGTCTAATTTTTAGTTAAGCAGGATTTGGGCTACAGACTATAACAAAAAACAGAATCCACCTGCGATTCGGGTGTTAAAAAAACGTGTTTACAAAGAAACACTATATAGATACATAGATTTAGATATTTAGATCCTTAAATTAATATCATTATTAATTTCTTTAGATACGTGATCTAATTATTATATTCTCGATTATAAAACAGATAATTTCGGTCCTGGAATCTGACTGGCTGACACCCTTCTGAAGCGGTGCCATAATCTCTGATATAAATTTGACTTTTTACTGTGCGATAAATTTTAAAGACTACTTCTTGGCATAGATAAGAAAGCGTATATAAAAAAGCTTGAATTCTCTTGTATCTGATACACATATCTTTTTCTGTTGTCTTTGTTGTGCTCTTGAGGATCCTTGTGATTTTTTTAGTTCTGGTTGAATGATAAGTGTCGCAGTTGAAATTATTTTCGTTGTTAATAATTATGAAACGCTCTGTTAAAAGAAAGGAAGTTTTTATGTCTGTTATAGTAAAAGAAAATGCCTGATGAACTAGGGATTGGACAGTTTCCAAGTGTTAAAGAAATAAACAAAAAAAGTCATTTATTCCTTTATCATATTGGCTAGCTAATGTCCTGTCCTTGTTAACGAAATGCTGTGGTGTTACTTTTTGTCAATGAAAAAATAAAGTCTTTTAGTTTAAAATGACGGTTACAAAGAATGTGGACCAGCGTAATACTTTGAGTTTACGTGTATTGTATGCGCTTGTCCAAGGTCATTCATTATTAATACTATTAGTAATATCTTTGGTAAAGGCTTTGATGCATAAAATATTTCTGTATAATTAAAATGTTTATGATAAAGATAGGTTGTGTTAAGAGTTCGGTAATAGGGACCGAACGAGTGAGTGAACCCACTTGCAGGAGCGAACAAAGCCAAGTCGTTATCCGAAAATAAACTGTAATCGTAGGAACGAGCCGAGAGTCCAGGGGAAGCAAGCAATCCTAAGGGAACGTGTACCGAAGCCGAAGAGTAATCCGAAGTCGTAGTCCGTAGAGCAATCCGAGAATCCAGAGGTAGCCAGTAATCCAAAACAGAGCAAAAGTACCAATCCAAGTCAAGATCCCAAAAGCCGAAGTCCAAAGGGAAAAACCGTAAGCCGAAATCCAAGACACAAACAGAGTAGAAGTAGCGCAACCAGGAAGCTCGATAGGGAAAACCAATACTGAGCATTGAGCAGTGTTTAAGTAGGATGAGACGGGGGTGTGGTGGTGAATAGGAAAAACTGATAGGTGAACTGATGGATAGGGGCTACGCCTACTTCTGCCTCCTCCGTTGCCGGGAGGCAGGGTTCGTAACATTACCCCCCCCTCTACGGGCGGCTTCCGACTTACAGAAGGCCCTCCAAAATCGGGAGACAAACTGGGGGCCCCTATCAGAAACAATATCCTTAGGGATGCCATGCAGTCGGAAGATATGTTGTACAAACAATTCTGCTAGTTCTCGAGCTGTCAGTAAGGATGGTAGGGGAATAAAATGGGCAGACTTGGAAAAACGGTCTACCACCACCATAATAGTTGTGTGTCCATGGCTGGGTGGAAGGTCAGTAATAAAATCTACTGAGAGGTGGGTCCAA